GTTTTTTGAAGAATTTTAAAAGAAGATTTTATTCAAAAACACTTTCAATAACTACTATACAGCAGAATACACATATAAAATAACACAGGAGTTATTTGAATGCGTCTCATGTAGCTTCACCTTAAGACAATTATTAATTTTGGAAAAGTCAAATTTTGATCCTCGGATTTTGTATTAAATTATCACGTGATTCCTCCTACCCTTAAATATTTGAAACTTGCAATGGTTTTTCTTTTATTCTAAAAATTTTGGTGTAACGAACACCTGTAGATTTTTTTTAATATTAAATTTCCCTCATTTTTTAATACAGTCAGGGAATATGCTAAATATGGAAATCGATTCTGGAAAAATTGGAACCCCCTTGTCGATCAATTCATATATGTTGCAAATGAGTTTACATGATACTTTGTATATGTTGAACAAAAAAATTTTTTTAATAAAATTCATATATAAAAGTCAAAACAGATTCTTCTGAATATATAACCCAAGGATCACTGCAAAATTTACAAGATATAAAAAGCCATTAGTTGAAGAAAATTTCATTTTTTTTCATTATTTAAGTTCACATTCAAAGTTATTTTGTTAGAAACCTTATCATTTCTTGTAACTTTATACAAAAATTCTTAATAACCATAGGAATAAATAAAATAGAACTTCTAGTTTCTAAGATCTTTTAATAGCAAGTTCTGGATCTCAAATGTATTGGTTTAAAAATGTAATTTTGTTAACCAACTATACAAAATTTCTTATTAATAGTAAACCATAGGGATATATAGAACAAACTTCTAGTAGTCTATTAATGAATATGCCATAAGTTTGCTTTTATCTACATTTACATGTAAGGATTACTTAAAATTATTTTTTTTTAAATAACTTATTTATATATATAAATTTAGGGAATTGTTAATCACACCCCCATTTTTGTTAATTGCACCCCCACGTGACTAAGAACAAAGATAAATCAATAAAAACTTCACACATTTTAATTCAAAAAAAACATTTTTATTTATTATTATTATTACATTAATAAAAAAAAATTATTTTTACAAATTTATTTACACGGTAGAACATGTTCGCTATTATGACCAGTTTGACAACATATACCACATTTCCTTGGCCTTCTTTCAACAAGCTCAAATGCAGATGGATCTCTCTGCATTGATCCTTCTCTTTGGTTTCTTGCTCCAACTGGTCTTCCTTGTGGCCTACTAACTTCAGGGTTTCCCAGTACATCAGGAGGAGCAGAAGTCAATTCCTCCAACTGGGTATGAGCAGCAGCTTGTTGGTGTGGTGGCCAGAATTGGTATTGTTGTGCAAAAGATTGTAAAAGAAGCTGAAGATTAGTGTGGTCACCATTGACAGGACATGTAAGATCTCCTAAGAATTCAAAATGGCAACCTTTGATCCACCAGTGTTCATGGATATCAGTTTGCTGCAATGTTTGGCCATTTGCTATACGTTCACTGATGAGATGTGAACATGGAAGACCCATTGTGGAGCTAAGGATCCCTGAGCAAGGATTCAAGGGAGAATCTAGTGTTGCATTTGATGCCTTGATCCACTCGTCACAGATCTTTTTCAAGGCAAAAACAGATACACAACACAAGAGAGGTTCAAACAGAGCTATACGGTACACATGTTGTACTTTTAGACGTTCAGAAGAGATCATTGTCACAGATTTCCTTTGCTTGAGACTCTACTTGCAATATGATCTTATGATGTACTGACTCAAGATCACCTCTGGATGACTGTAAATACTTTTTAAGAGTAGCATGTGCACCTTCTACTTGTGAAGTTGCTTTGTTACCAAGATGCAAGTAACGATCAACCCAGGCAGAAATGAAGCATTCTTTATGTAGGATCCAGGTTTCTTGAAGATACTGCAGGATGTTGGGCTTACTCGCATAGCATTCTAAAAATTCCTTCCATTGGTTGTGAAGTCTTGTTCAGTGATAGATGCCGTAACTGCCTTCCACAATTCAATGAACTCAGTCCAATCTTCTTCTGTAGCAAAGTGATATTTAACATTTAGCTAAAATGTTCTTGTTTATGTGCCAAATACATAGAAGATGATGAGCACCAGGAAAGATTCTACCAATGACATTCATCAGTGCTAATTCTTGATAAGTGACAATGACTTTAGGATGAGACATTCCATTAAAGATTTTTGAAATGTAACTCAAGGCCCATTCATAATCTGCTTCTTTTTCATCTTTCAGGAAGGCAAAGCAGGAAAAGAATGTTGTGTTAAAGCTTGTCATTCCAACAACATTTAGAAGAGGCATACGATATCTGTTTGTTTTGTATGTACAATCCAAAAGTAATACAACAGGATAGGTACGAGTCAAGGCAATGGATATCCTGTGTGCAAAAAAAAGGTGTGTGATGTGATTTTGATGGTCATGTTGATAATCAAATTCGAAGTCAGATTCTTGTAATTTGTCAAAAAGAGCTTGAATTGGTGTACGACCATCAAGTCTTTCTTCACGAATGGAATGCAAAGTATTGTAGATTGTTCTAGATGTGGCCATAGAAGAAAGATCACTCTGATGAATGGTTGACAAAATTTCACGAGGATGGGATCCAGTGGCAGACATTTGCTGAACTAGCTCTCGTTGCTCAGTGTTCAACCTGTGAGTGATTGGATGACCAGACATATCCTCTGATGCTTCGTGATTATGCTCAGAATTGTGAACCTCAAGAAACCAAACACCATTGCATCTGGTCCCATGGAGCTCAAATGGACAATCCAAAAGTCTTGACACTGTCTGCCTATGATATAAATCATCTGTCAGGTTCAAACTATTTCTATAAGAGCCACCTCTGTCACAACGCAATGTCACATTCTTGACTTTGCCATTATGGTTACAGCATATCCTTGAGTTAAAACAAAGGCTCGAACATGAGCAAGGAGTTCATCATAACTTGAAAATTGGTCAATTGGAGGTAGAAGCATATTACAAATTTTTATTGAAACAAAATGCAAAGTACAAAAATACAAAATTGATTTCTTCAAGTTTTTAAATGAATCAAATAGTCAAGCCATTTGCTGTGCGATTTATTTGGTCAAGCTGTTTACTAATTGATTTATTTGGTCAAGCCATTTGCTAAACAATTTATTTGGTCAAGCCATTTATTAAGTGATTTATTTGATCAAGCCATTTGCTAAATGATTTATTTGGTCAAGCCATTTATTAAGTGCTTTATTTGATCAAGCCATTTGCTAAACAATTTATTTGGTCAAGCTGTTTACTAAACAATTTATTTGATCAAGCTGTTTGCTAAACAATTTATTTGGTCAAGCCGTTTTCTAAACAATTTATTTGGTCAAGCCATTCATTGGTCACATTACTACACTTAGTCACGTGGGGTGCAATTAACAATTCCCTATTATTATTATTATTATTATTTATTTTTATTATTAAAAATGATCTACATTTCACCCAATAAAAAATCCTTACATATAATTTTTTATATGTGTGGTCAACTATGTTTGTGTTTATACTGATGTGTAACACCCCAATTAGATGACCACTTAATGATTTTATTAAATGGTCCAAAAATTGAAGATTTTGATTTCTTAAAAGGATATTGGAACTGGGAAAGTAAAAAACCAAGGAGAAATAATTAATTTCTTTATTAAAAAAATAAATGTGTACTAGGGTTCCTAACCATAATTATAACTCCATATTCGAATATTCGTAAATCCAAAATTACGAATTTCGAATATTATTTTGGATACTCATAATTATTTTGGATACTCATAATTATTTTGGATACTTGTAATTATTTTGGATACTTGTAATTATTTTGGATACTTGTAATTATTACAGATACTTGTAATTATTACAGATACTTGTAATTATTATGGATGCTTGTAATTATTAATTATTTCAGATATTTCAAATACTTTATTTAAAATATTTCAAATACTTGTATTTGTAAATATTTAAATACAGGGTGTTAAGAAAAAAATGGCGGTTGGTAAAAATATTGTTTTTAATGAAAGAGTAGCCAAAATTATATGATGAAAATTATAACAGAGAATCGGAGGATCTTAGATTATAACATATGAAATTTTTGAAGCATGTTATTATGTAGGCTTTAGAGCAATTATT